AAACAATATTCATTACTTCTGAGTATCATTCACAAGATCGACGGAAGACAATCCTCATTAACATATTTTCGGCAGACAATGCACAGGCGCATATCGAAAATTTCATTTATCTGGCACTTCTTTTGGTGCTGACGTAGGTTTAACTACTTTAGGCTATATGTGAACATGATAACATATCTCAAACATATATGTTATACTATACATTGTTACCTAATGTTTTTCAGAGAGATGCTTAATATCACAGATACGTTGCGGCAATCGGTCATCGCGCCTCTTTCAAATATCACATTGTGATGTCAATGGTAAATATTGAATATAAATAAATATATCAGGCATTACATGCAAGTATTGTTACTTCATTACGTATATTTCATGGTACTCAAAACATCTGATCTATATTGCATATTAACATTCCAAATATTTTGGAGATTAAAGCATATTCTCATTCGAATTTGTTTCACTCCAAGACTCGTTTATTTCTCAACTCACTTCGATAACTAAGAATCAAACTGTATACATGTTGTGAGCTACGTTATATGTTGGTGAAACAAAAACTTTGCCCGAATAACATCACAACTCTGAGATATATCTGATATAATCTAATAATATCGATTTCAATATTGATGCATCGTTTCATAAACGTCTTTCTTCAAGATATTATGTTGGATACTCCAGGAGAATATTATCGCAATGTTATTCCAATTATATCACGAAACTTAAAACTCAAGAACATTTTTGTGATGTATTGTTTAGTGTCAAGTCACAATAGGTAAGGTCATGTTTTCATCTTGAGTGTAACTTCAAATCGATTTCTTACTACCACAATCTAAGCTACAATAACCATGTATGGAACACAAGATATCACGGATCAATAACACTGCTTGTGTTGAAATATCATTATGAAAAAATGATTTTCAGTGACACCAGTCTGATAACGCTTGCTACTCACTGGTTTATACCGACTTAAATCTGACAGTAGCTCAACAGAAAACTGTGCGTATGATGTGTGCTGCCACGTTCGTTGATATAACAACTAAACTACAGCCTGTGCGCATATTGCAAACATGCGCATATTGTATTCACCTACCTTATTATCAATTTTCGGTACAGGTGCGTTTCATGATAGATGATAGATCACTATAGTCAATGCACATGGCAATGTATTTTGTCAATATGAATAAAAAATTCCAAATGAACTTGATATAATATAACCAGTGCTATGGGCATTATTGGGCATGGTTCTGGTATGGCACTGATTATAAAATTCGTTGATATCAATGCTTCCAGGATGTAAATATCAACTTTTATCAATATATACAGAGGTGTATCACAAGTTCCATCAAGGGGTCGAACTGAGACCTCAATTAGATAGATAGATTTATTCAGATATAGAGGATATTTACAATGTATAGTACCTAGTACAGTAGTTTAGTAGTTGTCAATAAGGTTCTGAGATACATTCTCAACAGTCCTGTGCCATCTAAGCTGAGCTTGTGGTATGGTACAGACTGTTTATATTTGTTTCAATGTGTCCATATCATAAAACCCTATTGACGAATGAGAATAAATGTATTTAAATGAATATTACATTGGTGAGCCTGGCATTGCCTACCTACCTCGATGATAAAATGAAATAAAATAGTTTGAGAGAGAGAAAGAGAAAGAGAGAGAGAGAGCGAGAGGAAAAGAGAGGAATATGGAGATTTTTTCCAATCATTCAAAAATAGTTTTCAACTGTTCGTAGTGGTTTTCAACGAAAATTCTTATTTCTGTTTTCAATTTTTTATGGGTCTTGATATTCTTTATATAAAAAGGTAATTGATTGTACAATTTTGGACCGAAGTATGTAACAAATTTTTGATTATGACTCAGCCTGCAGCGTGGAACTTTGATAACTTGGTTTGAAGTCATACGGGTGTTATACGGATGCGAAATAATTTTTAAAGGTCTGCTAAGTATCCATAGTAAACAATTATATGCATATAGCTTTCTAACTTGAAACAGACTGGCCTCATGATATAATTCTTCAGTGGAGTATCTGCGATTTTTTTTCAACATTATTTTGATCAGAGTATTTTGAATAATATCCAAATTATACAGTGACGTTTTGAATAATCCACCCCAGACAATAATACAATAGCGTATTATAGACTCAGCCAAGGCCCTATAAACCGTCAACATCACATCTCTTCTCAGAATATTTCGAAGTTGATAAAATTTGTAAATTAACTTCCGGAGTCTTTTCACTGTGTAATCTATATGATTGTTCCAACGTAGATTTTGGTCAATCATTATACCTAGATACTTGATTGATTCAGTTTTATTTATTTGTGAACAGGAGCAGTTTGGAATTTCTGTACATGTAGATTTGTGGATTTTGAGGAAGGTTTTCTTAGATTCGTCTTTTTTAGTTGATGAAAAAGCTATAAACTTCGTTTTTTCTATATTGAGGCTCAATAGATTATTACTTAGCCAGATGTAAATTAGTTTCATACCGATTTCTGCATTTTCGTATACCTCATTCCATGTATCACCCACAAATACCACAGCTGTATCATCTGCGTAAGATATTAGTTCACCTTTGAAATTACCTATTTTGAAAATGTTATTTACGTAAAGCAGGAATAAAATAGGACCCATAACTGTTCCCTGTGGTACACCCATAGTAACAGGCAGTGGGTCACTATATGAATTATTAATTTTCACCCTCTGTATCCTATTTGATAAATAATCTTTCAAAATTTTCAAAGAAACGCCTCTTATTCCAACATTCTCTAACCGCCGAAAGAGTATTTCGTGGTTAACGGTATCAAAAGCCTTGGCTAGGTCTAAAAATACGGTTAGGCATTTCTTTTGATCCTGAAAACAATTGAATATACTGTTTGTTAGTTCAAACACGGCATGTTCAGTTGATAAATTCGCTCTGAATCCATACTGAGAATCAGAAAGAATATTATTGTTGTCACAAAAATGTACTATTCTGCTTTTCAAACACTTTTCAAATATTTTAGCAAAGTTATTGATTACTGTTATGGGCCTATAGTTGTTCGTTTTTTGTTTGTCTCCAGCTTTATAAACTGGGGTTGTGATAGATTCTTTAAATGCAGAAGGTATTTTTCCAGACACAAAAACTGAATTTAATATATGACATAGTGGTTTTAGAAAATGGGGATGATGTTTCTTTATGAAGGATACCGAGATTTTATCAGGGCCAGGTGAGGAGTTAGATTTTAATGTAGAAATTATATTCAGAATTTCATTTTCTGTCACCGGGTGAAGAAATATAGAATTTTTCATGACTTTATCTTTTTCTGTAGCAGGAGATGTTGGTTTTATTATCTGATTTGACATATTCTTACCTACATTAATGAAGTAATAATTGAATTCATTCGCTATTTCTTCATCCGTACGACATTCTCTTCCATTATCATCAAGTATGTGGAAGTGTGAACTATAATGTTGATTATCATTAGTTATATCATTTATATTCTTCCAGATTTTTTTATAGTTATTTCCAGATTCAATTATTTTAGATTTATAATAATCGTTTTTCGTAGTTCTGATCAGGTTACAGAGATAATTTCTATAGTATTTGTACTCATTCTTGTGGTCTTCTGTGGGAGATCTGATGAATCTTTGTTTCAGTTGGTCTCTTTGTTTTATGGATTTGAGTAGACCTAGTGTCATCCAGGGTTTCAATTTAGTTTGATTCCTGATCATGGAATTCGACTTTGTTCGCGTGCTTCTATCAATATAATGTAAAATTTTGTCAATGAAACAAGTGTACAGTATTTCCGGTTCATCATTTTGCATTATTGATTCCCAACTTTCAGTCATCAGTAGGTGCTTCAGTTTAGTATCATTGACATATGAGTTTCTTGTGTTTGGAGTATTCGGTTTATTTTGTTTAATGTTATCATTCATGTTAATTGATAGAAGTAATGTATCATGATCAGTTATATCAGTTTTAAAAATATAGGTTTTGAAATTTGTTGTACCAAATGTATTACTTTTTCCACATTTCACATATATATGATCAATTAGGCTCGGTAAGGTGCCCTCCGTAACTCTAGTTGGTTTATTGATGTATGAAAATAACCCCATTTCTGCTAACATGCATATATAAGTGTTGACCCTATTCTCAGTCGGATTCAAAATATTTATATTAGTATCCCCTATGAATATTTTAATATCACTACTAGGTTGAGTCATGAAATAGTTTTCAAGATCCACTAAATATGAGTCCAAATTTGATGCGGGAGGTCTATAAGAACAAGTTAATATAAATGTTGTATTGCTTAGTTTATATTTAATTTCTAATAAATTGACTTCAGATAAATACTTGATAGATGTTGAGTACTCGATATTATTCTTAATATATACAATTATGCCATCGTTTTGATTAAAACATGATTCATTATAAAGAATATCAAATCCGGGAATCGAAAAATTCTTGAAATCTTGTAATTTCCACGTTTCCGATAAAACCAATATGTCAATATTTTGATATCGTATATTTTCCAGGTATATCAAAAGTTCGTCGAAATTTTTATTCAAACTCCTAATATTGAAATGGAATATGTTGAAAAAATTCTCACCACTCCATTGATGTATACTCTCCTTGAAGTTTTGGCATACTGTTGTCTCTCTCTCTTCATGGCTCTCGATCAAATCAAGAAATTCTATCATAAAATATGCATATATATAAGCCTATATGAAAAAGAAAAAGAATATAATAGCAGAAAATAATAAATGTAATAGAAAGAGATGAGAAACAGAAAGAAATAATGATATAGTGAAGTTTAATCTATGGAAGTAGTAAGTAGTGATACCAGTGAATCAGAATATAATGTGTACAGGCGTATAATTTTAAGGATATGACGTTGCTCCTATGTATTTATCGTTATAATTTATTTCATTAATATCGGCTAGAATTTTACTAAATGAATATAATCAAAAGTATATGTATGTGGAGTTATGCATGGATGTATAATAATATCTTAATTCCTTGATGTGTACTTGGTAATATCAGCTTCACAGGTGATTCTCGCGTTGTGTCCTTCATACTTGGTGTATAAATATCCTTTGTAACTCCATACGTTTCTTACTCCAAGTATAGTTTGTGCTTCTTTCAGGAGGATTCTTCTATGTTTTGTTAAATCTTCAGCGAAGTATATTTTCTTTCCCTTGAACTTGTTGACATTTTTAAATAGTTTGGATTTGAGTTCAGAATTGGCTAGTTTGAGTATGGTTGGTCTATATTTATTCGCGTTTTCTGTTCTCTTGCCCACCCTGTAGCAACCCATTATATCTTTCTCTCTGAGGTTCAAGTTGGTATTTGTATTGATTATCTGCATTATTGTTTCCTGTATGTTTTCATCTGCCGTCTCATTTACTCCGTATATACAAACATGACTAATTTTCAGATTTTGGTGCATATCATCTATTTTTTGTTCCAGTATGCTATTTATTTTATCAGAACGAATTTCTATATGCTCAATTTTTTGCTCTAAAGCAGTAATCTTATCAGCCTGTGATTTCAGGTCGTCTTGTATCTTCTTAAGTTTTTGTTCGATCTTATCAGTTACCTTTTTTGTTATTTGGCTAATGAAGTCTCGATCTTGGAATATTTCTTGGATAGCGTCTTTTATCAAGGATATAGGTATTATAAAGAAAATATAATAATTGTCGTTGAAATTTTCTGCTCAGTACCCTGTTGAATTTTAATTACATTCCTAAATTTTGTGGGTGGAAGTTTGTTTGTCAGGCTTTCACGCCATGATTTCTCAACCGATTATCATGAAACTCTGTTTAAATATTTCAAGATGTAAAAAAGAGGACATAAAATACTCAAGATCTGAATGAATGATTTGTTATAGGCGGGTTATAGCTATTTGAATATCAAGGAAGCAGAAATATTCATTTCTTCCCGCGTGTGGAGTCTTATTCCTGATGTTTGGCGTTATGCGATTATATCACGCAGCAAATTGGGTCTCTACTGGATATCACCTCACAACATATCCTTAGTTTTCACCACTGCTTCAGGAACCTCTTCATTCAGAAATGTGAAATGTTTTCACTTTCATGCGAAGAATCAATGAAGTTTACTGATGTCATACATCAATTCAATATTTCATTCGTGGAAGAGGTAATATCAAGGAAGATGTGGCTACCAATGATTATAACCACGTCACTGGGTATCAAAATCCGGAGATGAAAACTCCTTTTGACTACATTAATTGATCTGGAATAGTATACCGAATTCAAGTTTGTTACCTACAGGGTCTCCGTGGAATTGAATATGAACCTCAATTTCTCTCGTACCCTTGACACCCTGTATCTCAGAGAGGATGCATATTAGGACAGATGTTGATAGGAATTTTTCTATTCATAACGATCGAGGTACAAAATCTGTATACGAAGTTTGTCGGTCCCATTTTGATTCATCCCGTATATAGCCTATTTCCTCTGGTTAATTTTTATAGTGACGTTTTTTTCCTGTTTATCTGACAGCGATAAGACGTTGTCTATTATGTTATTAGTGATCGCTATGAATAATTTGTTACACCCGCATTTGAAAGATCACTTGAACTCGACCCAGTGCAATGTGTTTCATAAGTTGAATGTAGTATTGGAGGTTCTTGTTTGGTGTGATATCGTTATGAACACCTTTGGATTTTCACATTGAATCAATGATTCTGATTCGGTGAGCCATCGCTCAAAAAATCCAGGAAATCGCTCATTGTTTGTTGGAGGTTCAGATGCTATTCCTCATAAACGGAAATATGCATCCTTGTATTCACTCAACAGACGTCACTTATTTCTAATGTGAACTTACCTGAAGCTTCGACCACTGAATTCTTCCAATGCATCGGACGGAGTTCCTCCAAGCCAACTTGGCACCGTAAATGAGTTCTGTTTCTGTTAGTTGATAACTTCCAGTAGCCGCTATTTCTTTTTGAACCTGCTCCCATCTTGACTCTTGAGCTGGACTCTGTGCCCTGAAAATGTTTAGACACATATAGATTCTCCTCATTCCATGTAAAACATCCTATCAAATTAAATATTGACTCTTCCGATGCATTGCTTGTTATTATGAGTTGAAAGATTATTATTTTATTGATCCCACACATGACAGTTATGCATTTTATAATTAATGCCATTTCAGACAAGTAAACTATCGAACAACACACTAGTGTGTTATACTCCATAACTCACTAGTGAGTTATGGATTATAACTCACGTTCGTTCTTGAAGAAGTGTTCTATTTATTTATTACTATTACAAGCAGGATTCACATTGATATTGAAATTACAGGAGAACGCTAACGATTCAATCGAATTTGAAGTAATTGAAGAATCCGTTGGTTCATTCCCAGCAAACAAACATTTGCGATGAACTGAAGACCCAATTTTGGAGAATTGATAATATCCGAAAATTCAAAATATAAACCAATACCTACCCCCCCTCTCTACGGTACGCACGATGTTCTTTGAACATTATTGGTATTTTTTGTTTGTGCGCACCAAGCGATAAAGACAAATCGATTACCTGTCTGCATTTTTCATAATATCCTTGAGTGAATTCGTATTCATTTCCATTATTTTCATTGAACTAAACAAAGAAAGCAGCAATGACATTCACTAAATTGAATGATGACGCCAATATTCAACAAACGTCAAAATATCAATTTTCCATCAAAATGAGATAATTTTGTCGTGAGAAATGAAATCTTGTATGCTCCACGAGCGTTAATAGATCCTAACGCTATCGGGAAGGCCCCCGTGAGCACACTGGGTACATGAGTATTCATTTTACTGTTATCTGAATCAATCCAAAATCAGTTTCGTGATTAGTATACATTGATTATACCTAACATTTTTATGAATGCATTTCATTGAAGACACAAAAAATCTCTTGAATATAACAGCTACAAGCAAATGGAACTAGTTAAATCTCATTAAGCAGACAAAATCCCAAAGATGAACTCTTTGGTGGTGTTGGTGGGGAGTTTGGAGGGTTGTTATGGGGTGGTGGATAAAGGGAAAATTGCATCAGGTACCTATTATTATTATAAACCGGTTAGGACAATCATTCACGCCTGTTTCAAGTTCTCGGCGATTTTTCACAACTCTGACTTTTGTAACGAAGAAAAAAATATTGGCAACACCCCAGGTAGCCAGACTGACGAATGTGACGTCTATAGGACCGCTATCTAAGGTCTTTTTTGTTCTTATACGTCTTTTGACCAAATTATGACGTCATGCGGACGTCATTAATGTGACGTCTTATGGACAGCCACTGTTTGACGTCGTATAGACGTCAATCTATGGTCTTCATATTTTTTTGGGTATTATTATCATTATTATTATTACTATTATTATTATTATTAATAATATTAGTATCATGTATGTATAGGAAAACGAAGTTATAAAATAAATTAATTGATTTATCTAAATAACTGTATAAATGTATGATAAAAATGTATTTTATTCCATAGGCTTCCCTTGATTTTCAATGTTTAAATTTAGCGCCAAAGACAATTCTCACTTACCGACCAGATGGCCAATGGCGATCAAGTAATTACTCGAAGAGATTGTGTATGCGACTCGCCACCATCTCGCGACTGCCGTTAGTGGCGTTAGTGCCGTTCAGCGGTCCGTTCTGTGGTTCAGCGTCAAGCTTGCATCGTGCATGGTGCGTTCCCGTTCATGTTCATTGTCCATCGTCCATGTTCGAATGGGTGTTGTTTGTGAACGGCGTCTGTGCCATTGGATTTGTTGAGAATGTTGAAATATTGAGTGTTTGAGTGGTATTTATATACAGTCTGTTTTTCACGTGAAAGTATTCAGGATGTATTGTGTAATACAATTTGATGACAGTGGAAGCAACAGTGTAGCTGTTGTTCACGAAACTTGGCTGACGCCGTTGAAAAAGGAAGTGTTTTGGTCGTCATTTAAAGACAGCAAAACATACAAAAAAGCTCTCTGTGAAGGGGAGCCATCGACGCTGAAATTTTCAACTATATGTAATACCTTCTTGTTAATAAAATCTTCATTCGTAGCAAATTTATTTTATAGCACAAATGATTATCTTCCTCACCAGATCATAACCATTAACCTCAAAATGTTTTAAAAAAAACAGACGTCTTATTGACGTCGGAAATTGGTCAGTAGTGTCAGTTTAAGGTCCAATTTGAAAACACATACTGACGTCTAAAAGACTTTGAAATATGACGTCATTTAGATGTGTCTTACTTACGTCATTTGGACGTCGCATTTGTTGAAATAAAGACGTATTTTGGCCGAATGTGATGCCGTCAATTAGACGTCATATAGTCGTCATGTGCTACCTGGGACTGTTCAAAGTTGAGCAGTGATATCGCGGCATTTTGCTGGTGTAATGGTTATCAAACATAAGTTCCGTGGTATGAACACCGTATATTTATAATTAAGAGAACAAACTCAAAGTCTCGCTCTCTTAATTATCTCATCACCTTCAATTTGAGCATGGACTACTACCAGAGATTTACCGTATATTTAATCTATCATGTTTTTTATACTTGAAGCTTGTAATGCTCATATCACTCCTTGCAGTTTCAATATGATAAATAACATTCCTGGAACAATATTTAAACACCACTTATTTTCAACCGTGATACCGGACAACTATGCATGATACGATGTTTCAAAATGCAATAAGCTGTAGATTTCAGGGGTTTAATTGGAAAGTTTTGTTCCCTCAATATCCTCCTACGGTGATCATTTTTCATTGTCTCGCATCATTAGACATTCAAGTACATGTAAACAACATATTTCAGTCTAATATCGAAATTAGATTCATTGAAATCATTGAGTCTGCTAGTGACAGTGTGAACCCAAAGTGAAGGCCTATATATGAAGGGAAATTTACCCTCGTACCGAGATATCAAACTACTCACCTCTTCTTCAAATACCTATTGTTGGCACATTAAGATGGATGAATTCGTTAACAGTTACTTCGACTTATATCAATATCTTTGGTTTTTTTCTCAGTAATTCGAATCAAAAACTGAGTGGCGCTAGACAAAAGGTTATTCCCACTATCGTAGTAAATAAGAGGAACTAACTCACGACCTGCTCAGATACAAACAAACTGCCGTGCCCTTAACAAATATTTTTTCCTACCAGCGTGCGCAAAGTAGTAATTTTCCGCTGTCATTTGCGTGCGCAAAGTAATACTTTTCAGTGCGGATAAGAGTGTTATACGCACGGCGTGCGGATAAGTAAAACTACCCAAAAGTCTCACTGGTATGGAACATTTATATTCATTTTAGTTGCTGTAGACTATTGCATATATGCACTATGAGAAGCCGTTATCCCTTTTACTCTTTATCCGTTCTTTCCGATATTTGTATTTCACCTTCATGTAAATATTAGGAACAAATGATTCAATTTTCTATATCATTATATTATGTTATTGATATGTGATCGTTTGTTGTTTGGGTATTTCTATCAGGTTTAACTGAAAATCATTCAATAAATTGTGATTCAACCTTCCAGTACTCGCACGCGAAGTATCACTCCGCACGAATATAAAATGCTTGTTTTCTCGAATATACTTCATTCCCTTATTCCGCCGCACTAAGTACCTTCCTCAAATGACGAATTCAGTACGAATCGAGTATTACCGATGTGCAAAATTGCTTAATTTCATAGCGTAGTGCGGAGTCGTACTCCGCAGCGACCTTAGACGTCTTAGCTATATTGCACATTGCGGTTAAACTTTTCAGCTATTCTGGGCGTGTTAGGCAAAAAGTTTGTCTCATTTTATGAATGATATTCCATAAAAAACCGTTTTGTAAATACACATGATCGATGCTTCTGTGATAAAAAAAAGAGACACACCCAATTACATTGAAATACATGTAAAGAATTCGTGTGTTGCATATTAGAACCCGCTTTATTCATTTGCAGAGATTGCCGATGAGTCATTGGTGATTTGAGATGAAACATTATCAGTTTATCCTCAAATTATAGTTTTTTATTTTATTTAGAGATATTCATTTCCAAAGGCATACTGATGATATCGTTGGAAAAATTCAAGTCATCACGACCAAACCACCCAAATTCTCCATTGCGGAGTCAGACTTCGCAGCAACAGAATATTTTTTATGGCGCGACTACTGGAGAGTTATAAGTCGTTGAAAGTCACGACGAAAATTTGTTGATGGAGTGGGATAACGATTTGTATTGGTTAGAAGTTAGATTTATGCGTCTGAAGTGTATTTTTATGTCAGCAAATATTGGGTTTGTTCGGGCCACGCATTTTCCAGTAGTTACTCGACTAATGCTTCAAAGTTGCAAGATTTATCAGCCAGAAGAAAAACAGTGTATCAAAGAAAATGCTAATGATCATCAAACAATTTTCAACTTGACAAATTTGGATATAATAATAATAAAAATGTTTATTTTTTTTTGTTTATTTGCATACAAATATAAAAAATGACTTTACATCAAAAATAGGAATAGCCTACAAATAAACAAAGGGTGAACCGCATAGCTATATATAAATTATACAATACAAAAGCATATGAATGAAAATAATTAAAATATATATATTTATGAAAAAGTTATATAATAATGATAACAACAAATAAATTGTGTATGAAAATAAAGATATTGGGCAGTGAGTATATCATTTGGAGTGAGGGAAAAAAGTGTTTTGGCATAATCAAATTATTCATGAGATTGATGTCTCTTAGTCAATAAGACTATGAATTGCTTTTCTTGGTTTGGAATAAATGAACTTTCTTAGGTTTTGTTTGAATTTATGGACCTTTGTAATGTCTTTGATTTCAACTGGTAGAAATTGGTGAATTTTTGGACCTAGGTAAGAAAAACTTCTTTGACCCTTAGATGTACGCATAAGGGGAGTTATGTAAGTGAGATTTTTGTTTCTGGTGTTGTACCGATGATCTGAAGTTTTCAGCTTAGATTTTGAAATATGTTGAGAGATATTGCCACGTAGGAAGAATAATTGTCTTGGATCGAGGATGCCAGATTCATGAAATAATAGATCCGATATAATGTGATATTTCATCTCACCAATCTCCTTAGGATTGAATTATACATTCAGGATGTAAGACCAATTACTGACTCAAAAATATAGGTACTTAAGCATGTCAGACATTATCGGCCGTTTTCTCCTGCTAATCTTATCATCTGCTGAATCCATTTTGCTTGGGATGACATCATTCCTTCCATCAAAAATAACAGTAGTGAACGCAGCGTGGAAAATGTCTAATTAAATAGATCACTTCGATACCTGGCAATGCAGAATTTTCCAGGCCTTTGTCGTTTGATAGATGATAAAACAGGGCTTAGTTCTTCAAACGTCTCTCATCTTGCTTCTTAATTAGTCCAGTGAATTCGTTGACGAAACTGAGTACTCTTTTATTCTTTTTCTCCAGAGATCCATCATGCTCTTCTGTAGTGTCACTAAAGCATAATTCTCGTTTCAACCGAAAATATATATCTGCCTTCTCGTTAGTTTTTACAACGATCTGTCGCTTGAATATGAATTCCTATAATATTGATACTGAAAATTGATGAACTAGGTCTTGGGTTCCAAGGTAATATAGCGCTTGGCTTACATAATACAGTACATAATCTATGTCTGAGTAGTAGGAGGATCACAAATTCATGAGTGGTAGACTGATCAAAATGAGCAGAAGTTGCACTTTGGCGGTCAAGCATGCTTACTTGCTAAGAAATTAAAATTTTGTTATTTATTTCCTTTTCTGATTCATAAAGCGCAAGAAAATGTGTAAGTTATTACAGGAATATGATATAACATAGAATTGAATATTCAAAATGATATGTAAAATATATGATATATTATATGTATATGTGTTATTATGAATATGAATTCTATAATAATTTCAATGATAACAAAAATAATAGCATCAAAAATATACATGATAATTATCTCACATTCACGAAAAATTGGAATTCAGCCGTCTCTTGAACTTATATACAAGGTGATTCTAAAATAGGTGGACAAACATTGGGAGCATATAAAGTGGGTGAAATAGTTACGAAAACCTTTGTAATATTTCTTTCTGAAGTGACCACCAAGAAAGATACAGCCCCTCGAAGGGGGGCCTCGGAGAATGATTTTGTATAATTTTCTCCAACACCTTGTATAATGAAAATCTGAAATTCCGTTTATTCACTAACAAGTCAGTGCTGGTTCGAATGGAGTTGGAATCACCTCAAAATTGAATACAGGCGTGTGTCAAAATAGGGAGGTATGGGGTAAAAATAACCCCAACTTGTTTGTTCATCGCAATTTCAGTTTTTTTGCATGAAATTATGAAAACTCAGGGCTATTTACTAGAAAATGTGCTCTCGTTGCATCTCGATATAATGAACTATTCGCGAATAAAATTTAAAAAAAGCTTGTTTTTAACAATATTTCGCATTTTAGTGTTTTCAATAGGATCAGACCATAGTCACGAAACTCGTCGTCTATTTTCGATACATGCATTCCGACAACGAATTCCAATTTTCCAAGCCCAAAAATCCTCACAAATCAATTTTGAATCAAAAAATCCATAACGCGTTGTCAACTATCATCTGCCAGATTCCAAGTTGATTAGACGATCAGAAGTAGGTGAAAATTCAGTTGCAAGATTTGAACTAGATAATTAATCTCAAGTGCATACCAAAATTGCAATTTGAATGAAATCTTGGAAAAATAAATGTTATTCGCTGATGGTTCAGTTTATGCATAGATTAACTCATGTTAATAGCCCTGAGATTTCATAATTTCATGTGAAAAAACTGAAATTGCGATGAACAAAGAAGTTGGAGTTATTTTTACCCCCTACTCCCCTATTTTGACACACCCCTGTATTCGATTTCGAGGTGATTTCAACTGCATTTGAACCGGCACTGAATAGTTAGTAGATAAACGGAATTTCAGATTCTCATCATACAAGGTGTTGAAGATAATAATACAAAATCATTCTCCGAGGCCCCCCTTCGAGGGGCAGCATCATTCTTATAGGGCACTTCAGAAAAAAAAATGGTACCAAGGTTTTCGTAATTATTTCACTCACTCTATATACTCCCAAAGTTTTACTACCTATTTTAGAATCATCTTGTATATTATTCAATTTTTCAGTGAATATTTATTTCATTATTGAATATTGCCTTCTTTCCATGATTAGTTTTAATTCTGATAGTGGAAAGTCCATTATATTTCGAGTACTTTGTATAGTGATACTACTGATTCAAATGAATATTATGTTTGAATGTTCATAACGAGTTTTCACGAAGTAAATAAATGTACATAGTGTAATGATATTTCCCTTGGAGGGGCTTTAGAAACATCAGCAGGAAGGCAGGAGTACAACGGTCATCCTGTATCACGCATCCCAGATTGCTCTCCTACCTCCCAATGATTCCTACATGCACTAGCATATTTCCGAACACTCAATATATGCCGCGGTGACAGATAACGTCACAGAAGATTCTGGAATGTTCTGGAAACAATCGATGGAACAATTAGAGAGAGAGGTTTGTTCTGAGAAGCTTCTAGAACAAAAAGAAGGAGACGGAAAATCATTCGAGAAGGTTCTCGAACCAAAGCCTGTCTAGTTATCTCATATATAAACGGCCGAATAACTGCCGTCAATAGTCGAGCAGCGAGTGTCAGAGAGACAGTTATATACCGCGTGTTATAAATCGTTTTACATAAATAGTAGTTCTAAGTTCGTTATAAATTAGTGTTTCTATAGTTCAAATAAATCAGTTCGAAAATAAATAGTGTCGTGCTCGCTTCTGCACCCGACTAACGTAACAATTGGTGTCAGAAGTGTGGGATATTCCAGTGTGAAGTGAACAGACCGTTGCAATGAAGAAACTACACGAGTTGAGAGTGGTGGACTTGAAACGCGAGTTGGAGGAGAGAGATCTCGACACAACAGGGATCAAGGCTACACTTCAGCATCGTCTCATAGAGTTTATGGTGAGCGTAGGTCAAGATCCAGAGACGTTCACCTTCGAGGAACCAGCTTCAGCGGAATCGATGTTGGCTGGGATCTCGGAACAGATAGCAGCTCAGCGACAGGACATAGCGGCTCAGCGACAGGACATAGCTGCGCAGCGACAGGACATTGCGGACCAGATGGTGGCCCAGCAGGAGAAGATAACGGACCAGATAGCGGCTCAGCGACAGGACATTGCGGACCAGATGGTGGCTCAGCAGGAGAAGATCACGGGCCAGATGGTGGCTCAGCAGGAGAAGATCACGGATCAGATGGTGGCTCACCAAGATAAGATCGCGGATCAGATGCGTGCTCAGCAGGAAAAAATCTCAGCTCAGCAAGATCAGATAGCCTCTCAAATCTCAGCCCAACGAGACGAGGTATTAGCTCAGATGACCGCTCAACGAGAAGAGGTGCTGGCACGTATTTCTGCTCAGCAAGATCAGATCGCCTCCCAGATATCAGCCCAACGAGAAGAAGTATTGACTCAGATATCAATACATCGGGAAGAAGTTATGACTCAGATTGCTGCTCAGCAAGAACAGATCGTTGCTCGGAAAGAACAGATCGCATCTCAGCAGGATAACATTATAGCTCAGGTATCAACCCTATTCACCACCCAGATAGAAGAAATGAAGAAGGAGCTGCAGCTCGAAAGAGAAAGAATAGCTGTGCTGGAGAAGTCTGGAAATGGTCGAGGACTCATGATTGAAACCACAGTTGGGCCAGATGCAGTGACTACTACCAATCGAGTAAAACCACCTACATTCGATAGAAAAACATCGTGGCCGAACTATCTGAAGCAGTTCGAAGCAGCTTCCAAAGCCAATGGGTGGACATCCAAGGACAAGGTGGTAGCTCTTACAGTAGCTCTACGGGGTGATGCACTGAACATCTTGCAAGCCATTCCGGAAGTAGAAGCCGATAGCTACGATCATCTCGTCAAACGCCTCGAAATGCGGTATGGTCACGAACATCTTCAGCAAGTATTTCAATCACAAATGAAGAGCCGTCGACAGAGAGTCAACGAGAGCCTGCAAGAATTCGAAGTGGACGTTGCACGATTGGTTCATTGTGCATATCCATCAGCTCCCGAATCTCTAATGGAATGCTTGGCTGTTCAAACGTTCGTAGATGGACTACGAGATATTGAAATGCAGAAAGCAGTTCGCCTCACTCGACCAAAAGACCTCACCAGTGCTCTGGCAGCTGCGCTTGAGATCGAGGCCGCAGCAGAAGCTTCCCGTGGATCCGCGAAGGTACGAGCTATAAATGACAGCGAGAACATAGCCGAGAGCCACAGGCAAGATTCAAATGAAGCTTTGATCAACACCATCAAGGGCCTCTTGGATAAGAAGAGGAGACCAGTTCGCTGTTGGAATTGTGGGGAGTTGGGTCACCTCCAAAGAGCTTGTAAACGTGCGAAACAGGCTGCTGAGGAAGGATCATCTTCCACGCAGCCGCAGGAAAACTAGAACGGGTCGACTTTGAGGGGGCAGCTTCGACTCGTCATTCTCAAGACCCTCTCATCTTTGTGGCATCCCTACGGCGTGATAACAGCAGCGTCTACGTGGATGGACAGATCGACGGAAAGAAATGCGCATTGTTGGTGGATACTGGTGCATCGAAGACGATCCTGCGACGTGGACTTCTGACGTCTTCAAGAAAGCAACTTGTGAGCTCAAGATGGCGTCTGAGAACTGCTACGGGTGAAGCTGCCACCGTTTATGGGGAAATCGATGTGGATATATCGATCGGGACCGTCAAATTTCCACATCGAGCTATCATGGCGGATATTGAAGAAGACGTTATTCTGGGAATGGACATCATGGGTTGCGCACGGGATCCAACTGGACTTCAGAAGCAGAACACTCAAGGTGGGTGCCGAAGAGATCTTCTTACATCCACGGGTGGAGGTAGCGGCAGGAGTAATGTTAGAAGAAGACGTCCTGTTACCGAAACGGAGCGAGACCATTGTAGCAGCGTGTATTGAGGGTACATTGGAGCAAGGCAGTCCCATCATCATGGAACCCTGGAACCATGACGAGGAAGTCGGACGTGGAATCTTAGTCGGCAAGGCTTTACTGTCAGCAGACGACCATGTACCTGTTCGATTTACCAACATAAATAATTACCCTGTGACGATTGGCAAAGGAACGAAGATTGAAACCTGTGTCCCAGC